ATTAAACTGCATATAACATACCTCAAGTCTCCTAGCTTTAAAACAGAAGATGATTATGTTGTTTCACGGTGTCTGCTCTTAATGTGACGCATAAGGTTACTCTTGTCACTTGATCGTAATGGGCAAAAAGGACAGGAGTATGGTTTCTCCCCACTATGGATCCGGAGATGTTTCTGGAGACTAGTTTTAACAGTAGCTCGATAAGGACAAATAGGACAGGCAAAGGGTTTCTCTCCAGTGTGGATTCTGTAGTGACGCTCCAAGTCTCCTTTCTGGGCAAATGGCTTCTTACATTCAGGGCAAGAATAATGCTTGTCAGATGCAGACTGTTCTTCACCCCTGCAAACTTGAGGCATACAATCGCTGCCCCCCCAACCTCTGGGCCACGCAGCCTATAAGAGAAAAAAACCATGATGGTGGCTGGTTGTGTAAATATGCCACTCAACTTTATGTAACTAAAGTAAAATTCTAATGAATCATGTAAATATATATGAGAAAAAAATAATATGAATATATCAAAAACTAGCAAAATGAAAGCTTAAATTATATTTGAAAACATATATGCGAGTTTCATAAATATGGTACTCAAGTTTACAGAACTATTTTATTTCAAATAAAACTATTAGCCTATCATTTTCCCAATCAATGAAAATTGACATCCTAAATCAGCACAAAAAAAAAAAATTAATGCATCCTTACTTGGCCCCATAGGCAAATGATCAAAACAAAGGGTATCCCAATATAATTTTCTAAAATGAAACTTTCTTTTATAACCAAGTTCCTAAAAACATTGCAATTCATGCTTACATTCCTGAATTCACATAAAAAACACCTTTTGTCCCACTTTCATTCTCTTTCTGTATTCACACCAGTCCTTTTAGAAATCTTGAAACATTTTCATTGAAATGTATATAATCAATACAATCCATGGCATCCTAATATTTTCTTCTTTCTGCATATATATAATACATCACTTTCTTCTGTTATATGAAAAAAAATAAAACACAATTCAGTTCAATGCTTTATTAAACTTTAAAACTGACTGATTTGGTTACAAACGTGAATCTTCTGCAATAGCATAATTACACTTGAAATTATAAGTGGAGTCCATAAGAATCTGATACATTATGGTGGAGCATTTCATATTGTTCATGTCAATTTTCAATTACTATCCCTCAGTAATAGTTCAGATACAGTTGTTGCCATTTGGGAAAGAAGAGATTTCTGTTTACCTTATTCTGTCTTACATTATATCAATCTTTCACTTCATGAGTATCAAGCAAATAAGATTTCTAAGATCATAGATGTCTTCGTCTAATATGCCTTCTCAGGTTACTTTTGTCCTTCAAACGAAGTGGACAGTGAGGGCAAGCAAAAGGAGCATCCCCAGTATGAGTCCTCAAATGGATGTCAAGAGAACCTCTATAATCATATGACTTCGGGCAGACTGGACACTGGTAGAATTTGTTGGTGTGTTGTGGGAGCCCTGGCGGAGGTACAAGTCTGGCTGTCATCTGGGGAAAGACGAAGGCTTGGTGAGTCTTACTTAAAGGATCACAGAAAATATGTAGCTCACACTTGCTCAGACAGATAAATTCCTTGGTTTGTGCTTTATTTTAGGGGGACTTGTATCATTGCACCAAATGATCATTCTGTGTTGCCTTAAGCACATCACTCCACTCTTCAACTGGGTTTGCATACTGAGGGAGACTTGTCTGTAGTATGAAATCCTTCCTGGCACACTCCGTTCTCTAGGTAAAGAGGTTATATATGGTTTCTTTTGCCTCCAGCAATGATGTTCCTAATAGCTGCTCCTTGGATTATCCCTGAGATTCAGATTTTGCTGATAAGACAAAAGATGGTGCATAAGAAAGGAATTTTTCTGGGACACATATCTAGATGTCTATCAGAATATAAATAGATGAATCCTGAAAAATCCTGGCATCCCACCATTTTCGTCTTTCTTATCTTTATGACAAACACTGAAAATAGATCCTTGATCTGGAAATGTCTATAGCAATCTAGACTCTATTTAAGAAATTCCAAACTGATTCATCTCTTATGGAAGACATAAAGAAAGATAACTTTCTGAATATTTAAACAGTGAAAGGTTATGCGCTGGTTATCTGCTTCTTACCAATATATATGAATAAAAAAGAAAAAAACACCAGGCAATTGTGGAATGACAGTAAATGAGGTGAATTTCTGTTTTTTCTTCTTACATACCTAGAATATCAAATACTGGTTCTCTACACTTTTTCACTGAAGCTATAACACTGTGAAAGCAGTCTGAGGAATATCTTAAACACATCCCTTATATCAATATCTATAGAAGTCATGTGAATAACAGCTTCTTTTCATTCATCCTATTAAGACTTGTTACTTTTACAAAATGATGAGTATCTAAATTCATAAATTTTCAATATAATCATAAAGATACAATAATGACACCAGGTGTGGTATCCATTATTTTAGAATGTTTATAAACCCAAAGCATTTC